ACAGCTTTTCGAAAATTGTGGGTCTAACAGACTTAGGAACAAATGGGCACATCTTGCCAAAAGAAGTTTCACATGCTGGAAAGCGGTTGTCTACGGAAACTAATGTGTTGGAGATAAGGAATTCAAACATAATCCTTCATCTGACTCTGTATCCGTTTGTTGAGGTTCTGCCATTTTGGCTAGGTTGACGTACACGTCTTAAGTAATATTCAAGTTCATGCGTGACAAGGTATCTGCTACGTTGTTTTAATTATGTATAGGTAAATATCTGTTTTGAGTTTCGAGATAAACTCTTGATGTCCAGGGTCTCTTGGAGAACAATCATCACGCTTTGCTAGCAAGGTTTAAGTTACAGATGCATAGTCCGGATAGATGCTAGGTGGTTTACCTTTAATCATATGTCGAAATTACTGAAGGCCGGATAACACGCCAGAGATCTTTTTCCAAAAGTACCATGTTTTTTCTGCACAGGATCCCACCATTAGGAAAGACAAAATGGTTGCCGCTTGCAACTTGAGAATTGCCGCCTCGATAGCTACGATTGACGCATATCATAATGGGTAGTGGGGCGTCTACATCACGGGGAATCAACAGAGTTTGAGATCGCGAAGATTCTTTTAGCCTATGGAGTGTTGCAACCACTGTATCAGTCATGAGTAGCATTTTCACGTAACCTACCAGTAAATCCATCAGTGGCTGTGTTATATATGCACATAAGGAGAAAAAACGTTGGTGAAAGTCAGTCGCAAAAATGAGTCTGCATAATTCTCGATAATGATATGATTTAGGGCATTTTTCAAAAGTTGTTACTCCTTTGTGACTGGTTTGATGCTTCCGGCGCTAATATTATGTCAAAAACACCAAAAGAACTCCTTTATAAACTCACATTTTCGCAATGCCATATTCACGTTATCGTTCAAATGTGTTGAATACGTCCCGCTTTTGAGATGCTTACTACCAACAAGTCATCAATATAAGCAGGGACAAAAGGAGAGCATGAAGAACTTGGTTTGTAAGTCTTTGAAAAGATAAAACTTTATTCTCTTAAATCAAATGGTATTACAATGAACTGGAATGATCAAAGGGAGTAGTGATCAGTATTTTTAGAATGTTAAAAGACTGCACAGGTATACGATGGTGTGCTTGTACAAGACCAGTCTTCGAGCTACCAACATTCGACACGGAATAAGTAAAACCATAGATGCATGAACGTGGGTACTTATCTGTAACCGTCTTTTTGTTCAGTGCTCCGTAGTCATGGCAAGGTCACACATATCTAGATGTCTTCTTTGGAAACATGAGCGGCGGTGAGGATTACGGGAGCATAATTAGCAGCTACTGGAAATCACTGAATTCTGGTTGGGCTATATGCAACTTTCCTGAGCCTAATTGACGGGATAATTTGAGCCTTATTAGTAATACGACAAACGGCTAGTCTCGGTGAAGAGTTCGCATAGTCATTCAGCGTCAGTTCCTGAAATTCCTCCAGCTCTTCTGAATAAATACAATCATTGGTCCCACTGAATACCACTTATTCGATGACTTCCATATCTGTAAGTAAGCGAGCGATAGAAAATTCACAGTTGTGAAGAACTAACCGGTGACAACCAGTAATCCGTAGGGCCGTAGTAAATTTATTCCGATAATCGGTGAGACTTGATAAGCAGTGACGAACTTCCATGTGGATGTCATACCAAGCCCGAAGTATAGCACCAGTTCTTTTTAACCGTAAGTGTTTGTTCTAGATGTATTGAAAGCTCACGGTTTCCTTTCTCGAATGAGTCTCTTCCTATAGGTGATGGCTGGTGGAACGACACTTATGCTCCGGTGCCAGCCAAAAAATGGGTGCGAGTACGCTTTGTGGTGACTTGAATTAACAACTACTGAATCAATTTAATCCTACGATGGCAGTCATCAGTAACTGCTGGCCCATTTTTGAGAAAACGACCTCGTAAAACAATTACGAAGCACTAGAAAGCATCGAACTTGGTCACCACTTTTGTGGTGGTATCAGCATGCTAAACTCTTTATTCGTCTGAAGGGCAGTCTATTTTTGTATGAATGTCTCCCTGGCAGGACATTTAGGTTTTTTGTCAAGCACCACGCCCTGAGTTATTTGTGTGTAGAAATTCGATGAAAACGTCCTTCCTTATGGAGTGAACATTAGCCGAATTTGGAAGTTTCAAGTTCAACAGTATCTACTGAAAGTAAGACGAAGACGTTTTCCTCAATCTGTAACACGGTTCCACTGTAATTGTTTTCCTAGTTTTTCATGGGTAGCAGATCTGAAGGAAAGAAAAGCATCCTTACTGCACCAGGTTTTTCGCCAGTTCAACAACCAGAATCGGGTCCCTACTGTCATTCAGTAAATAAACTATTCCGCGTTACTAGCCTGGGGTTCAGAAGGGTTGGAAAGGATGGGCTTTAATATTCCCTACCTGGCAGTTGGTTTGCGTTATAATCAAGCAACTCGTATCAGTTAGCGACAAGGATGGTATAATTAGTATGATTACCGAACTTCCTTACCCTTCGTTAAGAACTCATTCAGCATGATCAATTACTTCAAGCTCTGGATGGTTACACAAGAAGTGGTACTACCATGAAAACAACCACATGCATGATAGACGGCCACTTGAAAAACAAGTGCGTGACTAAAATGTAATCTGTTTAATACCAAGAAAAGGTGCAGTACTATGAATGTAGATTAGTATCAGTAGCATAAAAATTGATATGAACACAGTTACAAAATGAGGTTAGCTTTACTAAGAGTAGGAAATGGCTCGTAATATCACTTACATGCAATAATCGATACGCACACTTAAGAATGTTGAGAACTGAAGAATATGTGCAAACACGACAATCTGTAGAACGAATGTGACCTTGGAATTACACAATCTGTCTTCATGGATTTTTCCAAACGAACCCCGCATCGTCTCTACCGCTTTTTATCATCAAAAACTTTGTCCATAGCTGACTACATTTAAATCAAACTAATTGAAGTCCTCGTTACGCACGCCTACTGTTAAGTGACAAACTAACGACAGAGAAGCGAAATTTTAAGTCCAGTAATGTGATGGTACGACTGTGCGTTCCCATCAAAACAAACTTGTCATACACGTTAATTAGCCAAACTTACTGTGCAAGGGTTGACTATACTACCTGACGACCTAGACATCGGTAGATAGAGCGATTTTCGAACCCATGGCATGGTGGTTGAAAGTCGAATAATTGAACCAAAGGGCCACCGAACCACTTTGAATTTACATAGTCTGTTTAGCAGAGCAGTTGTGAATTCTAGATGGTGTTACATTAGGGTAAGTAGTACCACGGTTTTGAGCACTCTGAAAACTACATGTATGTACTTAAGCCAGACCCTTCTTAGGTTTGAAATTCTCAATACCTAAGACGAAATTCCCACATGGTGGAGGGTGCAGCTGACCCCCGAAATACCTTGAAACCTAAATCGCGCAAATAATCGATAGTCTACCTTTCTTCAATTTGCTTGGTTACTGAATGCAGAATACAGGTTATATGAAGTGTTGCTGAAGTACTCTAACCAAGTGATGAAATGTTCAGTATCAAAAATGTGATCTAAATAACACTGGACAACTTACTGAAACTTTTTCTGTCAATAATATCAAAGAATTAGATGTGAAAAACAAACTGGAAACAGGATAATCTGCAGGTTTTATGAACTGCAAATGATAGTCTCTACGATAAGGTTGATTACAGGCACTAAATATTTATTCCAACATCAAACCTTTCCAATACTTTGACAAGATAATGGTACGGCCAATGTTTTCGGACCCACAGGAGCAGGTAATTTGATATATATAGGCTGAAGTTAAGTTCAAAGTCGCTTTAAACAGTGGGTTATAAATTAATTTCGTGGTTAAACCACATGCAGTGAAAGTATTTTCATGCATATCTCAATGAATTACTACAAAGCGTGTTTTGCAAGGGTAGCATACAATAAAACAGTCAGGGAATTCGGAAATAGAACTTCTAGTCTAATGCGACATATAAGTGAGATCTCTGACAACAAAGACAATCTATGAGTATGAGTCCCCATTAATTTTTGTTCAACTTTTCACTGTAATTATCCATATCAGATTTAGCAAGGTGGATAAAGTTTGAAACATTGGGTTACAGTTTAATAGAACGCAATGATTTATTCAACTGTCTGGGAAACGTGTGATTCAAAATTCAAGATTAGTAAAAATCCACTTTCACTTTCCTAAATATAATCTTACACCTGAGACTAACAAGTTCATTTAACCTCTTAATTGTATGAGGCAGGAGTCTTCTTATCAAGGATTTGAAACAAATTGGCCTCTTTAATTAATTTGCAGAAAATGGAGGTTACATGAATCGTATGTGTTATCAGAGATCGCACTCACATTGGTACTTATTAATTTCAAAACAGAAACTTCGGTGGTACAATCCAACAAGCAAGAAGGCTTTTACAAAAGCAAAAATGAACACATACTAAACATCAATATCGGGTGGATGCTAATTTTCCATCCCACTTACTTTTTTCACTTGGCGAGTTAACTAGTGTTGTTCGCCGTAAACTGACATCAGTTGGAGAAACAAAGTAAACCTAGGAGCACTGGACAGTTGTTTCGTCTTAGTATGGGACTCCTCAGCAGTGCGCACCCACGACCCCACCAGGGATCGAACCCGTGACCCTCAGCTTCCGTATCTTTATTACAGAATATGTCTCAGTCTCGATGCAATTGACGTTCAAAACTCAATTTATTAAAATTCAGTTATCCTACTGAGTGATTGCTGAACACTATTTTTTTATAACATCCAATATAGGTAGAAAGATTTCAAGATAGTAAGCTAAAAACATAACACATTCGTTCATCTACCAAAAAGACAGTGTTAAATTGTGCACAAAAGTCTATGCGGTTTACAATGAACAGTCACATTGAATTCAGAATTGTTGACGATAGGAAAATTGAATCTTCATGAATCAATGATGCGATCAGCAGTTAAAATACTTTCGGAAATTTCGGATTGTTTTTCAAGAAGTTGGTTAACTCCTTTGGATAATCAGTCATTACACCAGAGGCACCAATTTCAAAAGCTTTTCGCATATCGTTCTCATTGTTACACACCCAAAAGAATACCTAGAAGAAAAGTGAATTTGTGAAGAGATTTAGTAAGAGTATCAATATACAATGAGAAAACAAATATCGTTACATGGCATACAGCTTACAATAAGAAAAATTATACTTTAAACGTATTTTTCTTTAAGATGTTAAGGAAACCATATTCTTTTTAGATGATGGCTCTAAAACGTTTCAGCTGAGTTAGAAGCTGTTTGACTTTGTTATCACTAATCAGAATGAGAGAAATACTATTTATAATCACTTTCTACTATCTTATGGCAACACACATTATCAGGGAAGTCAACTGATTGATAATTTTCATATTAAGTATATATATATATATATATATATATATATATATATATATATATATATATATATATATATATATATATAAAAGGAAAAGAGCAGGAACAAACTTGATTCGAAAAACCAAGTTTCTTATTGTTTCTGTTAGTCAACAAATCATGGTTAGAAAAAGAAACGTGTTTCATCCTATAAACATTGGTCAATAACCTTCCAAAATGTTGCAATACACATCTTGACTAATCTAACATCGTTTAGTAATGATGGGCAGTGGCTAGCAGTGGAATCCAGGATGCGCATTTCGTCCTATTTGGGATTCGCCAGCTGGATGTACTTGCCTCCCAGTGAGTGATGTTGTTCCCACTGGGACTCGGACTCCACTGCTAGCCACTGCCCATCATTACTAAACATAGTTAAAAGACAGGCAATATCGAGGCATCCGCATAGGAGCTCATATGCCAACAGAGACTGATCAATTCGGTCCAATCAACGACGGTGTAATACAAGCAATAACATTAATCTAACATCATCTAGAATCAAGTTTTAAACAATGCTGTTTAAATATGTAAGTTTAGAAAGTTCAACCGGACGTAGGAGAATGTATATACATCGACTTAACGATGAAGAAAGCAATATTATTAGGTTCATCATAATAATGCTTATATACTTCTGAAGTATTTTTCCTGTAAATCTTACTTAGTTTTTACTTATCCTCCCAACTATATATATATATATATATATATATATATATATATATATATATATATATATATATATATATATATATATATACTATATTTACGAAATTCCTTTTAACCAAAGTGGAGTTTATTCTACATCAGTTTATAATCGGAGCGTAATTTGAAACAGTCACTAATACAGGTGTAAAACTTGGGTACTGTGGTTGAAATTAATTCCATATTAGATTTGTTTATTTGATTTGTAACACACAGTGATTTAGTATTATTTACTTGATGACGTTTCAAGCAGAAGTTTTATCACTGCTCATAAACATGTCAATGTAATCATACTCCAATTTCCACATTTGATTTTTATAGTTATGTCACTTTATATGAGTCGTTTTTATTGGTAGCAAAATTTTCCATATCTCTGGTATCGGTGTTGCGTCATTTCTATTACATGTGTTGAGTGTCGGCTGATTCGATGAACAAAGATTCACTAATCAATCTCTCTGTCCACCAACCAACTACATTGGCTTTATCCTACTCACCCTATTGTGTGGTTGTGTGTTAATGCATGCATAGCAATAGCCGAATTTTTTTCTAGATTATTGATCTTATTTAGGTTTGTTATTCTATATTTAGCTAAATCCCTATGTCCGGCTATTCTAACTGACCCCGACCTACTAGTTTGACCTATATACTTGACCTCACAGTGGTCACATGGTATTTGGTAGATTATATTATTTTGCCTAATTGGTCCTATCGGATCCTTAAGCCGATAAAGTTTATCTCTGAGCGAGTTTGTAGGTTTAAATGCCACCCTAAATTCAGCTCTGTTGAGGATTCTACGTAAAGTTTCTGAGGTACCCTCCTTATAGGGTAGTACAATGGAGGCTGTGAACTCCTTTTTTCTCGTAATGTCGTTATTAGTCGAACCCGTGTGACTGTTATTTATTTGTTTTTTGTGTGTCCGTAAGAATTTCTTAATAAACTGCGGAGGATAATTATTAACTGTTAGTGCTTCTTTTACGTGTTTCAATTCCTCGTTTAGGTTCTTGCTCTGACTAGACAGTTTTCTAGCTCTATCATTTGGACATTTGACTAATCCTGCCTTAAATGACATCGGATGGGATGATTTGAAGTCTAGATACCTGTTGGAATGTGTTGGTTTTCTGTAGACAGTAGTATCCAAGCCACCGTCTGTTCTTAGTTTCTTTTTTGCAATCCACTTATGTTTATGAATTTCGATAAGTTATCCAATACATTCGTACGATACATTTTGAAAAATCTGATCACATTTATTTGTCATAAGTATTCATTCTCATATGAAAAATAAAGAATTAAAATGTGAACAAATGAAGAGGTCAAATGAAAAGGTCAATGAAAACTAACCGAACAAAAACGATAACACATCAATCTGGATTCCATACCCAAAATTTACAAATGAATTTGATGAAAAACTGTTTATGAAGCCCAAAAAGTTAACCTATACTTCCTACTGCCTAAAGGTTCAAACAAACTCAAGGATATATCTCCAACAGATTTTATAAATTTGTTTAAAGGATATAAAAGTGATCATTTTTACTTACAACCATCTTAATAACATGTTTTGCAATTGAGAACCTCGGATATTTGTTATCAGTAGTGATACGGTCCGATGATCCGGTCTATTTCGAAAGCAACTTAGAAGTGTTTTAATATCCTCATAAGAATCGATGAGTTTCGATTGTTTCCCAACAAGTACATTTAAATTGATAAATACAATAGGATTCGATATCAACCTTCACATTTTCTACGCCCTTTAGAGGATAAAAAAGTCTGATATATTTCATTATTCTAACCTCAGGTGAATAATAGGTTTATCTGATAGCAGTATTACACCTTTGTTTGAACGTCGAACCATAATAGCTACATATTTATGGAGTATTGATGGACACATCTTTCTTCATTGGGGGGGGGGGGAGACCATAAGTGTTCACTGATTAACCACTTTATGCTGGTTAATATGAATCTTGGCCAAAATTTGACCGACTAATTTTATAAATAGACAAAAGTCATATTTATATATAAATCTCAGTGTTTGGAATAAGAAATTCCAACATTTCGTACAGAAGTCTGGTTCAAGCTTCTTCAGGCAAATAATCAAACTACATTATCTGAAAGGGGACACAAACTGGTATGCATCATATACATCAATGCGCAATGAAAAGTTAATAATCATATTGAAAGCCAAATATAATCTAGACACGATTGGACGATGAAAAGAACTCCACTGACTTTTAGCTTTTATACGTCCAGATTAATGCAGTTTCTGATTATTTCTCTGAAGGATTTGGGACAACATTTCTGTGTGAAACGTTGGGACTATTTATTTCAAACACGCTGAGATTCATAAGAATACAACTTTATTATAATTATTTGTCCCTTAGGTTCCTAATGGAACATAGGGCTTCAGTAGTACGTCTCCAATGCGCTCTGTTCTCTGAAATCTTTTGAACCTGGTTCCACGACAGCCCACAAGCTCTCATTTCCTCCTCGCAGGATCTCCTCCATGTCACCCTTAGCTGCGACGCCCAACTCGTCGCTTCCCATCTAGGTTCCACTCGAGGTCCTGGCCTGGTACGTGATATCCGCGAATGGTCTTCCCAGTGTATGCCCAATCCATTTCCACTTCCTTCTGCACATTTGTTGAGCGATAGATTCTACAAATATAACTTAATGGTCATTTATTTTTAGATAACCTTTCCGCTAGTTTTGTTCTTTTCTTAAAAGTGCCAATTGTATACACTTTTTAAATCCTATTGTACAGACACCTGACAAACGCTAACTTGTACCGAACTGGGTGCAAACTATGCTGTTTTAGATACTATTGTGGCTATAAGGGTTGGTCACAGTTAGACAGATCATTTTATCCATCTATTTTACAGCCGACTAGTCAATCTGTTCAATAAATGCAAGCAGTTATCTTTCTCACCTATAAATGTTAGGCATACTTCTTCCTCTTTCATTCAATCAATTTAACATTAAAGTGTAGCCTCAAATGTCATATATGGCTAAGATTTCATGAATAGAAAGAGGCTTTCTTAGTAAAATCTTTAGATGTGGCAGAATTCGACATGCATATAACCTTTAAAAAGGCAACCCAAAATCATCAGTATGACGTATAAATTCACTCTTAAATGATAGTTACATTGTGTATAGATAACAAAAAGTTATTCCTTGCAGTAGGGAAGCTAAACAGTTGACGAAAATCCAGACACGGAGATATGACTAGACGAAATAGGACTTGTTGTGATTCAGAGAGTGCGACTTTCATTTCTTGATATCAAAGCGATCAAGGCAGTTTGTAGACTCCATTGGGCATTTTAGCGCATAATTGCAGGGCAGGCTTGTTTGTTGATGCCTACGCTTTTACATACCACGAGCCATGTGGTTTACGTAGAGTCATCAAGATTATGAGAATCGATGGTTCACAGGCTCTTTGTGGCATACCGAGAAACCGGTTATATATATATATATATATATATATATATATATATATATATATATATAAACCAATGAAAAACAGTGAAGGAAACTTAGTTAGCAAAGAGGAGAAACAAAGGAAACAATGGGCTGACCACTTCAAAAAACTCTTGAATCGACCACCATCACCACCTACAACTCATCCAGGAATACCACCAGAAACCGCAGAATTACCAGTGAAAACAGGCCCTCCGGCAATAGCAGAAGTCCTGAATTCCATAAAGTTGCTGAAATTCGGGAAAGCAGCGGGACCAGATGGAATTCCTTCAGAAGTACTGAGAACAGATGCAGAGACAACAGCGGACATGCTCAAACCACTACTGCAGAAGGTTTGCAAGGAAAGAAGGAAAGGCACCTACCTGCCGATTGATTGGAAGGAGGGCATTGGATACAAAATTACGACCGCAACAGGCTGGCTGGCTTCTGGAAAAACAAATCATGTGCGGATCAATTTGCAACGCTACGCTACGCATCATCATAGAACAGAATGGCAGTCAACTCTCT